AGATCACAAATAAAACAGTTTTATTTTGGATAAAAAAAAAAAAAAAAAAAGAGCTTACTGATCTGATAGAGACTGGTGAAACCCCAGAGACTATGGCTCCTAGTCACCCTTCAGGTCTGATACTGAACTTACTCCCATGGCTTAACTTTTAGCCAGACAATAGACAGGACTACGAGGTGAACAATTACAATTATACCAGGTAAGTACACTCCTTAGAACAATCGACCTTAAGAGATTAAAATGGCAGCATTTGATCAGGGAGGAAACTCAGAGGGCAGGAATGCATAGGAAAGAAGGATTCAGGGAAAAGGTAACCACAGGGAGGAGGTGGGAAGAGAGCTGTTACATTGTGGGGACTGTAATACTGTCACGGAACAAAATGTATATGAACTGTTGAATGAAAAACAAATTTGTCTTGTAAACGTTCACCCAAATCACAATAAAAAGTTTAAGATAAATAAATAAAAATAAACAAGAACTTCAATAAGAAAAAAAATAGAGTGAGAATGAGAGCGAGATGGGAAAACCAGGGACATACATTGCTTGCTGCCTAGAGCAGAGTTTCTCAAACTCATTGAGACACTGAATGTATGGGCTCCACCCCCAGAGAGTCACATGGGGGAAAACTGCCTTGGGACCCAGTATCTTCATTTTTCATAAGCTCCAGGGTGCTTATGATGCAGATGATACAGACCACATATTGAAAACATCCCTGGGACGTTTATCAGGATGTACCTAGGGAACTTGCTAAATATGCAGATGCCCTGGTTTTCATGCTGACATCAACTGATGAGACAAATGTCAAAACATACTCAGATCTGATTAGCTTAACCAGTAGAAATGTCTACCTTGAACATTATTTTCTTTTGTGAACTGTCTATATGGGATTAAATTGACAACAGCTACTTGAAATATTAGGTAGGAACCATACAGGGCAGAGAGGAACAACTCAGAAAAAGAGGAGGAGAATGGACACACAACTCAGAAGAACGTATTTAGCGTTAGTTCCTAAGTGGTAAAAACTGTTGAAGGGTATGTTTTGCTGTATATTCTCAGCAACGAGCTAAATAATTTTTTAAAAAACAAACACTTAGATCCTATATACAATTAATAGAAAGGTTAAAGCAAAGATTTTTTAAAAAAACAAAAGGAGTGTGTGTGATTGTGTTTAGTGAGAAATATACAGATCCAATATAAAATCAACATTCAAAAATCAGTTGGATTCCTCTACACCAGCAAAGAGATTGCTGAAAAAGAAATAAGGAAATCAATACCGTTTTCAATAGCTACCAAAAAAA